GGGGGGGGGGGTAGTGTAAGGAAAATTCCTTTTCCTTACTGCGCGTCCCCGCTCAGCGCGTACACCACTGTAGCACCATTGTCGGCACCGTTACCACTCGCAACCCTCGCACCGACAATCTTCCCGCCAACTTCGCACGTCGCACCCCGACCCCACGGCTCGGCGGGTAACCCGCGCTCCGGGCCTCCGCTTCAACATTTCCCCCAAACCTTAGTCCCAAGCGCGTCGCGCGACAACCACAGTCCATTACCGTTACCACTGTAGTTTCGCTATACCGTATATTCTTCGCTCATGCCTTCGCTCATTGTACTCTTGCTTCGATAGTGCAATTCTCGCTCGATCACTCAATTGCACTCGTAACAGGCTTGAAGGTCTGTTTGGGGTGAGCGAACCACTAATCGGAGAAAAGGCGTGTAAATAAATAAAACCTGCATTTCAAAAATATGTACAGTCTTTTCCACATACGGTAATAGTTAGAATGAGGAATGATGATGCCATTGATGTTGGTTGGGGTACATATAACAAACCCTAACTTCTGTACCCCCTAAGACAAACCTCACTACAGGCTACAACATTTGACACACCCCCATAGCCTAAGTGAGGGGTGTCTAGCAAAATAAAAAAGAGTACGGTCACAAGACCAGTCCAAAAGAAAACAAAGCTCAGGGTGGATCACAACGTCACCACACTCTCTGAGCACAAGCAACAGTGGCCACAAGGCCAGTCCAAGATATCACAAGTATATATAGCAAGAGTACAGACGAAGCAGGCAATAAACTCAAGCCTACACATGACTAGAACATGTGTCAACAAGGCCTAACTGCACACAACACCTCTGGTGGTCACGAGGCGGAAGCGCCTTGGTGAAGATGTCTGCAGTGTTGGCCTCGGACTCCACAAACTCGAAGCGAGCCTGTCCACGTCTCTGCAACTCTCGCAGAAGAAAGTACCTGACGTGAATGTGCTTCACTCTGCTCTCCAGTCGCGGCTCACGGCAGAGGAGGATCGACGCCTTGTTGTCAGTAAACAAGGTCGGTGCAGAGCTCGGCCGCTCACCAAGGTCGGCGAGCAAGAAGGTCAACCAACGCAACTCCTGTGCCGCCATGGCACCAGCGTAAATCTCAGCCTCAGCTGTAGAGGTCGAGACAGAAGAGGAGCGCATGGAACGCCAGGAAACAGCTCCAGAACCCAGACTGAAACAGTACCCCTGAGTAGACCTGTGAGTCTCAGTGTCGTCAGCGTAAGAAGAGTCACAGTGACCAGTGAGTACGACAGACTGCTGCCCTCCAAGAACTAGCCCCACGCCTGATGTAGTCGCTAGGTACTTCGCCACCCTCACAGCTGCCGTCCAGTGAACAGGACGGTGTCTCCCTGGCGCAACAAAGCGCGCAAGGATGCTGAGAGGGAAGGCGAGGTCCGGGCGAGTACAAGTCATCAGGTACATGAGGCAACCCACAAGCTCTGCGTAGGGACCACTAGGCTCAAACGGCTCGTCAGGAAAGGGACCAGTGAGTCTGTGGTCAACAGCAAGAGGTGTGCGCTATACGGTGGAGTGCTGAAGCCCGAACCGCTGAAGGACCTGCTGCACCATGTGTGACTGTGAGAGTGTAATGGTGCGAGCGGCTCTGTCCCTGGTGATCTGCAGGCCAAGGTAGTGGCGCAGTTCACCAAGATCAGTGCACGTGTGTCTCTTCTGCAGTTCGGACTTCACGTCTGCCAAAGCAACCCTGTCCGGAGTGGCGAAAACGAGGTCGTCGACGTAAACCAGAACAAAGAACGGTGTGGAGCCACGACGAAAGAACAGCGACGGGTCGGCAGAAGACGGCTGGAACCCAAGGTCAGAGAGGGTAGAACGCAGAGTGTCGTACCACTCACGAGGGGCCTGGCGAAGACCGTAAACAGGTCGCCTCAGCCTCCACTTGGTCCCAGGAGGGAAGGTGCCAGTGAAGGCCGAGGGACGACGCAACCAGACCTCCTCGTGTAGGCTGCCCTGAAGGAAAGCAGTGGAGAAGTCGAGAGAGTGTAACTCGTAGTCTCTCTGTGCTGCTACGTGTAGTAACACCCGAAGAGTGGTCATCTTCGGGGTAGGTGCGAAGGTCTGAAAGAAGTCAACTCCCTCGCGCTGACTGAAACCTCTAGCCACGTAGCGCGCCTTGAAGACCGGGGGAGATCCCGGTGGCCGCTTCACCCTGTAGATCCACATGCCGTCGACTACGTTCGCCCCAGGGGGGGGAACCTCATCGACGTAGGTGCCTGTGGATCTGTAGGAGGCCATCTCTGCGTCCATGGCAGCTCTCCACTGAGAGGCCCAAGGCCCTGACACTGCCTCAGCGTAAGTGCGAGGAGTCGGAATGTCAAGGGCGTCGGGGTCACCCTCAGGGGCGAGGAGCATGGCACAGAGATGAGGGGAAGCGGCCGCCAGGAACTCTAGCTCAAACTGCCTGTCCTCTAGGGCATCACAGCCAAGGGCAGACACACCCCCGACGGCCAGAGGACTGGTAGGAGGAGCAGCCACAAGCGTGGTGGCGTAGTCAAGGCGGCGGGTAGAGGCAAAGTCAGTAACTGCGCCAGTAAGAGCGGACACAGAGGATACAGAGGCACGAGGGTGAGTAACAAGAGAGGCGAGAACACGAGAGAGAACAGGACGGTACATGCGGTAGTAGTCAGTGACAGGAGTAGGGAGCGACACAGTGAGGGCCGGCTCAGGAGGAGACGGAAGCACAGACTGAGACGGACGAGGTGGACTAGAAAGAAGGAAGGCAGTACGAAGGTCAGTGAAGGGAACAGGAGACGAGGGACGAGCACTAGGGGAGCGACGAGTAGCCCAAGAACGAGACGGAGGAGGAGAGGACAAAGGCGGAGAACTGGGGAAAACAGCGGGGGAGGAGTCAGGAGGAGGAAACGTGGGACCGTAGACAGGAGGAGAGGCGGAGGAGGGAGGAGAAGGGGAGGGGAGACCAAGGGTCCGAAGACCCGAGACAGGAGGAGGAAGTGGCTGCTGCTGCTGCTGCTGCGACTGCTGCTGCTGCGGAAGCGGCTGCTGCTGGGACTGCTGCTCCTGCGGGTCCAGCTGCTGCTGCTGCTGCTGCTGCTCCTACGGCTCCAGCTGCTGCTGCTGCTCCTCCAGCCGCTGTAACTCCCTCTCCTCTCTCTCCAACGCCAGCTGCTCGTCACGGGCACGGCGAACACGAGCCTGATGCCTAGTCGGGTAGGGGTGGGGGGGCGGAGTAGTGTCCGAAGCAGCGGCAGCTCCAGAGTCCACCCCCGAAGAACCAGGCGCACCACCCCCAGAGGCAGCACTAACACCAGCTCCAGACCCAGGCTCACCAGAACCCGAAGGAGGCGCACTCTCACCCCCAGTGTCCGCGCGACCAGCACCAGCTCCCGGACGACAAGAGTCCTCTGCACCCACCGGGTCAGCTCCAACTCCAGAACCAGAAACTCCAGCTCCAACTCCAGCTCCAACCCCAGCACCCCCAGAACCAGAAACTCCAGTGCCAACTCCAGCTCCAACTCCAGCTCCAACTCCAGCTCCAACTCCAGCTCCAACTCCAGCTCCAACTCCACCACCCCCAGAACCAGAAACCGGTACAGGAACAGGCGCAGCACGAACCTCTCGAGAGCTAGCACCTGCGGCACGCTGCGAGGAGGACTGTGGGGAGGGAGGCTGTACCGGAGAGGCTACCGAAGGAGGAGGGGTAGCCTGGGACACACCCGACGGGGCTGGACCAGGGGGGGGAGGCTGTACCGGGGGAACAGGAGGGGGAGCGGCAGTCAGGAAGAGGGGGGGGGGGGGGGGGGGGGGGGGGGGGGGGGGGGGGGAAGGGCGCTAGGCGACGGGGAGAAAGGGCGCTAAGCGACGGGGGAGAGGGCGCTAGGCTCGGTACTAGGCGCGGTAACCACGGAACCGGTACGAACGAGAGGTAGGATCAGGCTCGGGAGGGACGAACGGAGAACTGAGGAACGGGATCCCACAGGATCCTAACCTAGCTCTGATACCATGTTAGAATGAGGAATGATGATGCCATTGATGTTGGTTGGGGTACATATAACAAACCCTAACTTCTGTACCCCCTAAGACAAACCTCACTACAAGCTACAACATTTGACAGTAATTTCAATAGAAGGGGCTAAAATGCCTGAACACATTTGCTGTGCAAGTCTCTGCCTCTTACCGCCTACCACCCTGGCCAGCATTACCGTATTCCTAGGTTCAAAATCAAAATGGATTCATATGATCATAAACAAAGCCACTACAGCAGGCGTATGTAGCTAAGTACTGTACTAAAATTGTAGCTAATAATTATTTTTACGAGTATGCTGCAAATGAAGCAGACAAGGCATGGCGTGGCGTCACAAACACTTGCTGCTGTTTCATGCAATATTGGATGAGATGGCTTAGAGACAGGGCACCGTGCAACGCTGTGCAGTACTGAGGAATGTGTGTGTTATACCAAGCAACACCCAACATGTGTACTGACAAGGCAAGGCATCACAAACACATGCTCCTTTGTGCACCACTACGATACTTAGTGTTTGCTTTTCTATGATTCTACCTTCTACATAGATCTATTTGTACATGCATTTATTGTTTTTATGGAACGCACATCCTCGACACACCTCCCTCCCCCCCCCCCTCATTTAACCCCGACCAACTCCCCTCCACGCCACCATATCATCTCTCCCCTCTGTAGGCCCATCCGCATCCAGTTCTCCAAGAACCCCCTCCCTCGGAGGGGCCGAGCTTTGTAGGGGGACTGACCATCTCGTTCCCACCTCATCTCCCCCTCTCTAGCCTCATCAGAAAAAGCTCCAATATTTACAAGTGCCATACCAGCCTCAACCCAGAGCGAGGATTGAGGCATCAATGGAGCTAAGCCAACCCTACTGAAGGCCAACCTGTTGTGCCGCATCCAACCGTACCTGACCCTACTGAACTGTTAAAGAACGCACTCTACCTTTCCGAGAGTCGCTTGTGACGCTCTTTTACACATAACCCCTTAAACCTCTATTCTGACACACAATCTGTCCCCTCCGCTGCTCTCCCTTCCTCCCAACGCCAACTCCCAATCAACCCTCCCCTCTTTCAACCCTGAATCTTCCTCCTCATCTGTCACCCCTAGAAATCGCCGCAGCTCCTCCCTCCTCCTCGAGTCACCCAAACTCGTCTCTGCTGTCAACGCAATTTCCGACCAAGATTCGCTAATCTCTTGCAATTTCTCTTGACCTTCCAGACGTTCCTCATTCTCCTGTCCCTCCCCACTTTGCAAACGCCGTCTGTCTGCCTCTCCGGTTCGTCTTCTTTGCGAAACTACTGCTGCGTGTTGTGTTGCTAATGATTCTACTACCGTTGAAACCCTATTCCCCGCTGCTTCGCATGACGAATCCGTTTCTGCTGTTGCCACTGCCACTGCCACTGCTGTGGATGACGCTTCTGCTTCCCCTGTTCCCGCAACCGCAGGTGCTCGTACCACAGGCGGTCGTGCCAATACTTCAGGTGAAGAATCCATTTCTACAATTTCATGCTGCCGCTGAAAAGTGTCTACAATTTCGTGCTGCTCCTGGGAATTATCAACAATTTCGACCTGAATGCTAACACTATCCGCTGTTGTCTCACTCACAGTTGCCGACGGATCCTCCTCGTCGTTAGCCGTCGCAATTCTCTCGCTTGCATCGCCTGGATCGCCTGCATCCGTCGCCGGACCTTGAGAGTCTTCTTGCTGGGCCGGGAGTTTCGGGGGTTTCAGGTTGAAGCGGCAGATGGGACACGTGGTATGCGCGCAAAACCATATGTCGATACATGTCGCGTGAAATCTATGTCCGCAGGAGGGCAGCGTCTTTATACATTCCCCGTCCTCGTACTCGCCAAGGCACACCGCACACTCGCGAAAGCTTTCGCAGCAGCCTTCGCGAAGCTTTTCGCGGGAGAAAGTAACAGTCGGCAGCGCCTGAACGATCTTGGGATCGAGTCCTGCCGTCGGTGCTTTTTGCATCGCGCTGAGTTGCGTGCGACGCAGCATGTGCTCTTCTAAGGTGAGTGTGCGATCATGCGGTCCAGGAGAGTCGCGTGCGTTCAGCACCAGGAGGCACGCGCGGATGACCATAACGAAGAAGAAGAGGAAGATGAAGAGAATAACGAATACGGATAGCACGGCGCTGACGCTGGTGGAGAATCCCGCGGCTGCGGCTGCCACGGACTGGTTCTGTGTTCCTGCTGCCATGGCAGTTGGCGTGGACATTTCGTGATTCTTGAAATTGACAGTAATGAAGGGATGGAATAGATTTCGCTAACACCTAACTTCAACCTTCTCTATTTGGGCACTAATAATGCTCTATCTGTCCAGGAAGTTGTCTAGCAGAAATGACCAAAAGGAAATTGAGACCAGTGAAGTATTTCGGAAGCACAAGACAAGACTGGTTTCGAAAGGACGAAGAGCTGGGAAGTTCTTCACCGGCACATTCTTGGGTTGTTCGTTATAAATGCGGTTCAGTTTGGTTCTTCTCGTTTAAACGCGGTTTCTGTTTGACAACCGTGCTGAAATGCAGTGAACCGAAACGTACCAATAGGAACCAAAAATGAACGTGCTGGGTGGAAACGGACGGATTGTCTTGAGCTCATGCTGGTGGCACCCATCAGGCGGATGGAACGGAAGTAGCAAGACGAAACGAAACGCAACCTCCGCGTCCCACCGAGCTGAATCCAACTGGGGGAGGGGCAAGAATGCTGTGACACGCACGCGCACATACTTTCACACGGTCGTTTGCCCCCTTGAACGCCATTGGTCTCTCCCCGGAGCCGTGCAACGTCCTCCCCTCTGCGTACGCAGTTGAATCCCATGGTAGAGTTGTCATGGACACCGTGGAGGGCTCAGCTCGCCACGCGACACCAACAATTTCCAAGCATCACGCTGCTCTGACGTGTCGGTGGCAGACGTGCTCACATTTTCACACTGACCAATAAAGGCTCCCGTATGTAATGCTGAGTTGACGTCAGATTCTCAACATTCCGCGTGGACTCACATGGGTCAATGTCACTGTAGCTTCGCATCTTGCTTCCCCCCTAGGGATGACGGCGGGAGACCGACAGCATTTTCTCCACGTCGAACACACCTGGCTTGACGTCAGCGACGAAGACCAGGTTTGACAGCCTGTGATTGGCTTGAAGGCTTGTAAAGAGGTAAAAGCGACAAGCCGATGTGCCAAGACACAAGTGCTCTTACTGAAAGAAGATGTTCAAACCTTGATCACAGCTACAATGCAGAACGAGTACATCTCTTTTCCAAAATAATTTTAAACCTCAAATGAGCATCTATTCTGCTTGACATATACTTCACCTTTTCCTTTCAAGTCATAGAAGATTCCAGACTACAAGCACAAAAGGAAAGAGCCGGAAGTAGTTTTGAGATATATCAGCTCACCACCAGAGGCTGCAAACAATTGTGCATGGACGGGCGTCGGGCGCTACAAGCCAGGTAATGTGGGCACCATCTGGTGTACAACAAAACAAACTCCTGATATGGTGAGAACAGACCATGTAGACAAAAGCAATCCATCAGAATGCCCGGGCAAATTATGTGTTTGCACGGCATCATACTGTATGAGAATGAGTGTGTGAAAGGAAGTTGAGATGGGCAATCAAGGAAGGGGTTGATGCACAACGAATCCTTTGTACGGTACCGTATACTCCCGGACAAAACACCCCCCCATAATTGTACACCCCCGGGTAGCTTGTGCGGGGTGGGTGTTATGATAGACCTCGTTTCTACTATACCCCTCTTTTTGGCTGATTTTCTATAACACCCCTCTTTTCTTACGGATTCATTATTATAGTCGTTAACGAGTAGCTGCAATACGGAAGAATATCGTGTGAATTTCTCCCTCAATGAAATTTCGCGGTACATTCAAAGGCAATCTGCCGAGATTTGCCCCCTCCCACTGTTTCTCTGTTGCCACGTGCAGGTGAATCTTCCGTTGCAAGTGGCAAGAGAGGTGCCACATGGCATTTTCGTGAGGGCGATGAAGTTCGAGGCCGAAACTCACATTCGCGCCTCAGGCAGTGATGCTAAAAGGACCAGCAAAACACCCACATTGACTAATTAAAAAACACTAAGGGCGTATTCCTATCCTCCTATCAAGAAAACCTCCTATCAAGCTCTCACTGGAAAATTCCCTAAACCCAAAATCTCTCGCTACTTTTACCAGGCAAAAGGTACAATCTTGATAGGAGGTTTCTTGATAGGAGGCCGTAGGAATACGCCCTAATACTAAAATATGCAATATGTAAAGACCCGGGTATTATGTATTTTTTTCCTATGAGACCCCCCCCCCCCCATTTTTTCCCTGTATTTTTAGCTATACCCTAGGGTGCTATGTCCGGGAGAGTACGGTACATGGAAAATGCAAATGGCATATGATGAACCCAAATAGCACATGACCGACAGTGCATGCATGACACATGCTACGTACATGGCACGTCACACAAGGACCCACATGACACATGCCAGACGGTGCGTGACACGAGATACTAAAGCCCATTCACCATGGTTTTATACTGAGAAGAACATTGATCATCGCCAATTTTCACACACGACGATACTACTGGTTTCAAGAGGTGCTGATGGTGGCAGGATGAACGATCGTGAGTGGTGACGCAGTTAATGACCGGGGAATCGGGGATGCTAGAAAATGTTTACTACATGAGCCTCATTCCATGCTGATGTCATGCCACTAATCATACTGATGTCATGTCACTTGCCATGCCACTTGCCATGCCACTTGCCATGCCACTTGTCATGCCACTTTCCATGCTGATGCCATGCCACTTGCCATGCTGGTGCCATGCCACTCGTCATTCTGATGACATGCCAGCTGAATGCTAACCGTCCCTGGTTTGACCATGCCATGTCTTTGCAGTGATCAACATCGGATTCACAAAATTGGGGACACTTTTGAGAAGAGTGCTCAATTCTCAAGAGTGATTCATTAACTGATAATGTCTCGACTCTTTACTGCCATGCTTCTTCACCGAAATGCTTGACTAAGAGACACTACTTGCAGTGTTGAACGAATAACATGGTTGATGGTGCCGGTGCTGAGGGTGCGGATGGTGACGGTGATGTTGATGCTGGTGCTAGTGCTGATGGGTGCTGGTGCTGGTTATGGTGCTGCTGGTGATACTGATTGTACATGGGACAAGTAAGCTGCGGATGTTAGATTGATGCTCTGATGCTGATGCTGATGGTGAAGCTGATGGTTGAATGAAAAGGGCCATGGGAGGATGTGGATGGATGTTGGTCATGGTTGAATGTGGCCCACCCACAGTAGAATACTGATGCTGGTTGTACACAGCACACAGTGAGCAGTGAATGTTCCTGCTGATGGTGCTGATGTTGTGTTGATACTGATGTGCTAATGCACGCTTGCAATGATACGTTTCGATGGCATTTGAGATGGTACTCTCGAATAGTGCTTCGTTTAAATGTCAACCATGGTCAACCCATGCTAATGGTGGTGCCCGGAATTGGTATGGCAATCAATGGTAGTGCTGGGAATTGGATGGAACGAAAACCATGTAATGTTGGCGATTGCAATGCAATGGCAACCCACCATGGGAATGCTAGCAATGGAAATTGGAACAACAACCTGTGATGATGCTAGGAACTGAAAGGGCAATCGATGGCAATGCTATTGATGGGAATTGGAATGGCAGGCCATGGGAATACAAGTGGCTAAAACTGCATGTCAAACAATGCTAATGCTAATGCTAATGCTAGTGATTGGAATTGGAATGGGAATGCATGGTAATGCTAGTGATGAAGGTGGAATGACAAGACATGCTAATGCTAGTGGCTGGAATTGCAATGCTGCGCAATGCTGATTCTAGTGACTGGGGGAGTTGGAATGGCAATCCATAGTAATGCTAGTGACTTCAAATTGGAATGACAATTCATGGTAATGCAAGCGAGTGGTTGGAATTGCAATGCCAAACAATGGTACTGGCAGGGAAATGGAATTGGGGGAGTTGGAATGGCAATCCATCGGAATGCAAGTGGCTGGCATGCCAATTGACTGCAATGACCCAACACAGGTGCAATACGTGCAATAACCATGTCCTGCATATGCCTGCATGCCACGCCATGTGCATGCCACATGGATGCCACGTGGATGCCACATGGATGCCACATGGGTGCCACATGGATGCCACATGGGTGCCACATGGATGCCACATGGGTGCCACGTGGATGCCACATGGATGCCACATGGATGCCATGTATGCTACCTCCATAAGCAGACAAAGCAGCAGCAGCAGCCTCCGCTCCTACCGCTCCTGTTGGCCCTCCATCCGAACCTCCATTCGGCCTTGCATCCGAACCTCCATCCAAACCTCCATCCGAACCTCCTTCTGAACCTCCATCCAAACCTGCATACATCCCTGTTAACAAAATCTCAGCTTTTCAACTGTACCAATACCTTCTGCTCCTGCTGCCTCTACTGCTCCTACTGACCCTACTGCCCCTGCTGCCCCTACTGCTCCTGCTGACCCTACTGCCCCTGCTGTCCCTACTGCCCCTGCTGTCCCTACTGCCCCTGCTGTCCCTACTGCCCCTGCTGTCCCTACTGCCCCTGCTGTCCCTACTGACCCTGCTGTCCCTACTGCCCCTGCTATCCCTACTGCCCCTGCTGTCCCTACTGCCCCTGCAGCTCCTACTGCCACACACCTTCACGCCCAAAACACACACTTAGTCAACCCACTCGCTGCTGCCAATGCTGCAGCTTCTGCCCCAATCGCCCCTCCTGCCCCAATCGCCCCTCCTGCCCCAATCGCCCCTCCTGCCCCAATCGCCCCTCCTGCCCCTCCCAACCCTCCTGCCCCTCCCAACCCTCCTGCCCCTCCCAACCCTCCTGCCCCTCCCAACCCTCCTGCCCCTCCCAGCCCCCCTGCCCCTCCCAACCCTCCTGCCCCTCCCAACCCTCCTCCTGCCCCTCCCAACCCTCCTGCCCCTCCCAACCCTCCTGCCCCTCCCAACCCTCCTGCCCCTCCTAACCCCCCCGCCCCCCCTGCTTCTACGTTCATTCCTGCTGCCGGTGGGGCCCATCTCTCCACCATATCCCCAAACCTAGCCGATCCTTCACACCCAAAACACACTCCTAAGTCAACCCACTCGCTGCTGCTGCTGCTGCCTCCGCCCCAATCGTCCCTCCTGTCCGTCCCTCCCTCCCCTCCTGCTCCCCCTGCTCCCCCTGCTCCCCCTGCTCCTCCATCCGTTCCTGCTGCTGGGGGCTCCGCCACTGGGCCTATCTCACTCTCCCCAACAGCCCCCACTCCCCCCACTCCCCCCCGCTGCCCCCATAGTCCGTCCGCCCCTCAACGCAATCTATGTCAACCCACTCGCTGCTGCCAGCGCCGCTGCTGCTGCAGCTTCCGCCCCTATCGGCCCCCCTGCTCCTCCATCGGTCCCTGCTGGCGGAGGCTCCGCCACTGGGCCTATCTCACTCTTCACAACGCCCCCCACTCCGCCCACTTCCCCCACTCCCCCCATTCCCCCCACTCCCCCCATTCCCCCCACTCCCCCCATTCCTCCCCCGAAGCCCGGCCCCTTCACTCCGAGGGGGTTCTTGGAGAACTGGATTCGGATGGGGCCTCTATCGGAGGAGGCTAGAGAGGTTCCCTGTAACGCAGCGTGCACTGCTGATGCTGACGCTATGTCCTGCGGGAGTAGGGAAAGAGAGAGGGAGGGAGGGAGGGAGGGAGGGAGGGAGGGAGGGAGGGAGGGAGGGAGGGAGGGAGGGAGGGAGGGAGGGAGGGAGGGAGGGAGGGAGGGAGGGAGGGAGGGAGGGAGGAAGGGAGGGAGGGAGGGAGAGAGGGAGGGAGGGAGGGAGGGAGGGAGGAAGGGAGGGAGGGAGGGAGGGAGGGAGGGAGGGAGGGAGGAAGGGAGGGAGGGAGGGAGGGAGGGAGGGAGGGAGGGAGGGAGGGAGGGAGGGAGGGAGGGAGGGAGGGAGGGAGGGAGGGAGGGAGGGAGGGAGGGAGGGAGGGAGGGAGGGAGGGAGGGAGGGAGGGAGGGAGGGAGGGAGGGAGGGAGGAAGGGAGGGAGGGAGGGAGAGAGGGAGGGAGGGAGGGAGGGAGGGAGGGAGGGAGGAAAGGAGGGAGGGAGGGAGGGAGGGAGGAAGGGAGGGAGGGAGAGAGGGAGGGAGGGAGGAGGAAGGAGGGAGGGAGGGAGGGAGGGAGGGAGGGAGGGAGGGAGGGAGGGAGGGAGGGAGGGAGGGGGGGTGAGAGCGACTCCCCAAAGCCCGGCCCCTTCACTCCGAGGGAGGGGGTTCTTGGAGAACTGGATGCGGATGGGCTCTGTGTCTCATGACGCGAGGGAGGTGCCTTGTAGTGCTGCGTGCACTGCTGACGCTGACGCTATGTCCTGCGAGGGCGGGGCGGGGCGAAGTGGGAGAGAGGGCACGACAGGACAGGTATACTGTACAGATAACTCAAAGCAAGAAAAGGAGCTCTCTGATCTGGCTTCAGCAGCTCTCACTTCATAAAAGAGATGTTTTGAGACGTCTCAAAACATCTCTTTTATCACAAAGCAAGAAAAGGAGCTCTCTGGCTTCAGCAGCTCTCGTTTTGACTTCAGCACAAACTAAAAGGGCTGCATGTGTGGCTTCGGTAGTACTCTTGTTTTGACTTTGGAACAAATCTCACCGAATATTGCACGAAGCAGCATGTGTTGGTGACGCCTTGCCTCGTCAGCTTCATTTGGACATAACCCGGTTGCCTGGGAGGGGGAGGCAATATCAGGGAAGGGCGAGCATGAAGGAAGAGGGGGAAAGGGAGGGGGAGGACGGCAGCATGTGTTGATGACGCCTTGCCTCGTCAGCTTCATTTGCACAGAGCCCGGTTGCCTGGGAGGGGGAGGTGGAGGGAGGTAGGACGGACAGGGGAATATGAAGGAAGAGGAGGAGGGAGACAGAAAAACTTTTGCCCGCGCACAAGGCTAAATCCGTGCAAGGACGGCCGCGAAAAAAGGCTGCATTTGGTTCAATCAAGAGGATTAAGAGGACAAGAGGAGGAGGGGTGGAGAGTAGTGGGTGGAAACCTGGGGCTAAAGGTTTGGAAAGAGTAGGGGGGAAGGGGGAGGAGGGGGGGCGGAGGGAGGGCGGGAGAGGAGGGGGAGGGGAGGAGACAGAGGAGGAGGCACTCACGTGCCGAAGACGCTGAGAATCTCTGTTTCGTTGACGAATGGGCTGAGATTGCCAATGTAAAGCGTGTTGCAGGGCGGGTTGTCCTTGTATACCTGAACAAAGGGAGAGAATGAAAGAAAAAAAACAACAATTGAAGTGTTTTGATGGCCTATATGCAATAAAAACAACGACGGCCTACATGGCAAAGACAAACCATGCATAATAACAGAATTCGTTGCTCTCATTCTGGAGTGCATCGGGTGTATGCTGATGGCACAGTGCGACTTTTGAGAATTCTCAAAAGTCGCTCCAATGCAGCGGGTGTATGTTGCTGGTACAGTGCGTGGCAAGACAGTGCTACGGAGCCCCTGCACAATTCTTCCCAGCACAACCCACATCCCAGTATGGGGAATCTTTTTATATCCAACCCACCTTGGAGGGAGTGTACGATGGCGCTACAGTGCGCGGCATGACAGCAGCAGGAGCGGAGCCCACGGCTCCTCAACCGCCAGCCCACCTTGCAGGGCTTTACCAGCCCACTCACCTTAGAGGGAAAGTACGACGGCGCTACAGTGCGCGGCATAACAGCAGCAGGAGCGGAGCCCATGGCTGCTCAACCGCCAGCCCACCTTGCAGGACTTTACCGGCCCACTCACCTTAGAGGGAGTGTACGACGGCGCTACAGTCCGCGGCATGACAGCAGCAGGAGCGGAGCCCACGGCTGCTGCCGCGAAGGCGGCTGCTGCAGCAGCGCCGTAGGGATCATAAGAAGCCGCTCCTGGAACCACGTATCTGCAATGGAAAGGGAGAGGGGGGGAAGGAAGGGAGGAGGCAGTAAGACAGCAGGGGTGGAGGCTACAGCTGTTGCAGCAGCACCGTAGGGATCGTAGAACGCCGCTCCTGGAACAACATAACTGCATGGGAGGAAGGGGAGAGGGTGGAGGGGGACGAGAGAGGAAGAGGTTAAGATGGAGCCACAGCTGCTGCAGAAAAGGCGGCCGCTGCAGCAGTGCCATAGGGATCATAAGAAGCTGCTCCGGGAACCACGTAGCTGCAAGGGAGGAAGGGAAGAGAGTGGAGGGGGGAGAGAGGGGAAGAAGAGGAGGGGGGAGAGAGAGGAAGAAGAGGAGGGGGGAGAGAGAGGAAGAAGAGGAGGGGGTTGAAAGGTTAAGGTTGGAGGGGGATGGAGCCACAGCTGCTGCAGGAAAGGCAGCCGCTGCAGCAGCGCCGTAGGGATCATAAGAAGCTGCTCCAGGAACCATGTAGCTGCCTGCAAGGGAGAGGAGGAAGAACGAGGGTTCCGTGATGGGCGTTTATGTACCACATTTGACGAAACAAGGGTGGAAATATCGGGATACCAACAACGCCGCGTAATGACATCAATGCCAGGGAGCTCGGCACATAGGAAGTGAGAAAGGCGAAACATACTGCTCAGAGCTTAAAACAACACATGAGGTCAAGGCTTACGAGGTCAAGGCGTCAGCGACACGGAGCCTCTTGGCTGGATCTTCAGCACCTGAGGAGAGCGGGAAGGGGGAGTGGGGGAGTGGAAGAAGAAATAAGGAATCAGAAAGCATCTTGGCAAAATACACTGCTCAAGGCTTACGAGGTCAAGGCATCAGCCACTCGGAGCCTCTTGGCTGGATCCTCAGCACCTGAGGAGGGCGGGAAGGTGGGGTGGAGAAAGACGGAGTGGGGGAAGGACGAAGGAATCAGAAAGCCTTTTGGCGAAATACAATGCTCAAGAATACGAGGTCAAGGCGTCAGCGACTCGGAGCCTCTTGGCAGGATCTTCGAAACCTGAGGAGGGCGGGAAGACGGATTGGAGACAGGAATACGGAGTGGGAGAAGACTATAATATCCAGTGAAGATTAAACCATGCGAGGGGAAAGGGGGAAAAAAAAGGAAGATAAATAAAACGTGGAACAGGCGACCAAACGTGAGCACGCACTTAATCATGACTCTCTGAACTGGACCAAGAAGCGGATTTTTGTCCCCGAAATGCCATCGGAACAGGCCTCGTTATTGCAACCTACACTTTTGTTTTTCGTCTTTGAGGAAGAGTACATTTTTACATGAGTACCTTTTTTTCTGAAGAGGTTCTTCTTGGCCATTTCCGCTCGGAGTACCGCATTGGACTCGACATCGAACAGCAGACCCTGCACATAAGAGAGAAAAGAGGAACCAGAAGTAAAAACACTTGCCTAGCTGACTTTCCAACCATCTGTTTCTCAAGGCACGAGAAAACTGACCTGCCAAACTGACGCGACCGGATCAAAAGCGAGCAGAACTGACGCAATCGGTGCTGACGCAACCAGATCTGTTCTGATTTGGCCACGTCAGCCCAGCGACCGACCGACGGCCGTACCTGCAAGGCGTCGCGAGCGGCGAAGGCCATGGCTGACGTGGAGAAGAGCGCGAAGCCCATTGGCTGGTCGCCCTTGTACGACAGTTGGCACGACTCGTAGCCCGGCCACCAGCGCAGCAGGTTCTGCAGCTCGCGCTCCTTTGTGTCGGGCGGAAAACCCGTTATAAAAATCGTACGAACCTGGAACCATGATAATATTTATAAAATCGGGAAATAGGTACAGATCGCGCTCCATTACGTTCGGCGGAAAGCCCGATAAAAAAATATAAAAATGCCGTTAAAAACGAATCAGCAAGTCAAAATCGTCAATGCGAACTTTCAATCAGAGAGAGGGGAAAGAACATAGAGGCTAATGGTAAGAGAGGCACTGAGGCAATATTAACTGGACTTCGGGGGCGGACGAAAACAAACGGAGCGGATTAAGGTGCTAGTTGATTGGTGCGCATAGACTAATATAAAGAAAGTAATTCTTAAACGGCAACAGACGATTTTCGAGGCGCCTGAAAAAATAGATAAAAATATAATAATTACTCAGACGTTACAGGCGGAGGCTTACCACGTCTTCGCCTTCTACTGCGCCAGTTGGCCAACCTGCTAGTGACGTCATCGAGGCACTGACAGCGTACGTCAACAAATCGACTGTTCAGATTCAACAATAAACGGCCGTGATAGCGCTGTTGAGACGCAAGTGAGGCAATGGCAAGGTAACCTTCGAGTCGACTGGCGGTAATGGGGCACTCAGCGTGATGGCATACGGAGCGGGAAACAGTGCGGCGGAAATTGTGGTCTAAGAGCCGCTAGGTCTGCTTCAGTCGAGTCTCTCTGGTCCTAATGCTGCCAGTCTGGGGTTCTGTAACTGTTATCGAGCTATTCAGGGCTGGAAGAAAGGGCATGACAATAATGGAAAAGCCGGCAATACCAACAATGGTGGTGGGGAATATATAATAGCGGGGTCTTGCAAGCGAGTTGACTTACTTTTGAGAAGCAGTATATTCTGACTTGCTTCCGCATATGAAATCTGCACTTTAGAGTTGACTGGAGCATTGTTTCCTCATAACGGGTTTCGCTTCAAAAGGAAACTCTCCTTTTTTTCCTTATGCTTGTAAACATCTCACTCCACTACACTCCACTCCCGCTTCGAGCAGAGCGACGGCTTCTTCACTCCACTCGTCACTACGCCTATAACGCGAACTGCGTACAATATTTCTGAATCCTGTCACTCCATAGCACTGATCCTTACCTCACCTTCCGTCGTTGACCATCCTCGCTCCTACGTCCATCCGCGCCGCGATCCACGCCACCTGTCTTGCTCGTCTCTGTCTGGTCGCGTGGCATCGCGTGCCGTCGCATCGCGTCGAGTCTCGTCGCGTGTCGCATCTCGTCGCCATGGATCTCGATCTGGAGGGAGTTCCCGAGGAGGATAAGGCGCGTCTCACGCAGATGATCGAGAACGCGCAGCGACGAGACGGGTGAGCCGAGACTTCTGGGAGGTGTGAAAACGTCTTAACCTCTGGTTCTCTCACGAGCACTACATATATCAGCATGCAGTGTGGCCTAAGCCCGCAGGTGAATGGTTCAGCGTGTGTAGAAGTTTGCTAAAACAAGTTGCGTTTGTCCAGGTTGCCTGATCCGATTTGCACCTCTCAGACAAAGAATCGGCTCGAATGCTTCCTTTTGGTGCGGACCAAAGAACACCTAACTTCTTATATCCCGTCCTGATCAGGTCCCGATCAAGAATCTATCCAGCGTTGCTTCAAAAGCCACCTGGGTTCCTGATTAGGTCACAGGTGTTCCCGCACTTGGCTTCTAAAGTTGAATCCCGTGTAAGAGCTGCATGAGGAACCTTCTGACACTTGGCCGATTTCACAACTCTAGGCATGCATTGTATTGAGCCTCACCTGAACCAGTACCCTTCAATTCAAGGTTCGAGTTGTATCAATGCCGAACCAGTCTGCCTCATCAGAAGGTTCAAGTTCTCGTAATGCTGGTGGATTGGTGCTTCCGGAGTGCGTGGACAACTTTAGACAGAAGAATATTGAAGAACTGTTACGCGATTGAATACAATGTTTCTCCCCAAACAAACTCACCCCTCGCTCTCCCCTCCCTGTTCCCCCCCAGTCCGCATCCCCCTTTCCCTTCCCGGACCACACACACCAGAACTCGTTTGTACAGCTTGTAGCTTGTTGGTGGAGCGGTGCTTCCGGGACTGCATTGACAATTTCGAACATATGATCCGGTGTCCTCTCAAAACCCTTCCTACACCAGAGCTCGTATGTACAACTCGTTGGCGGAACAGTGTTTCCAGGGCTGCGTGGAGAATTTCAAGCAGAAGACCCTGTATTAGGTCCCTCCCAGGTCTGCTCATCACTGCTCTCCACCCCAACCCTATTTCCCCTCCAGAGCTCGCATGTACAACTCACTGGTGGAGCTGTGCTTTCAAGACTGCGTGGACAATTTCAGGCAGGAAGACTTAATATAGTCTCTGCATTCTCTCTCCCTGTCCCCCACCCACCCACCCCTTTCCGCCCAACACGACCAGAGCTCGCATGTGCAACTCACCGGTGGAGCTGTGCTTTAGGGATTGCGTTGAGAATTTCAGGCGGAAGACTTTAGATAAGGTCTCAGGACTTCTCATCACTGCTCCCCACCCCAACCCTATCTCCACACCAGAGCTCGCATGTACAACTCATTGGTGGAGCGGTGCTTCCGGGACTGCGTGGACAATTTCAGGCGGAAGACCCTTGATAAGACGGAGGAGCAGTGTGTGAAACGGTGCGGCGAGAAGTTTCTGAACCACTTTGCGAGAGTCGGCATGCGCTTTGCCGAGCTGCAATCAGGAGCCTCCAGTGAATGAAGACATTTTTCATTCGTAAATGCAGTCGGTCATACGATAGCATGTCTCTGTTTTGTAGTAGTGAAGATGACAAACAGTACTGTAGCACCTAGACTCCATAAAAAGGAGCAATGTGTAAAGCAGTGTGGTGAGGGAGTAGATATTAAACCACTTAGGAGCTCCTCCTGGTGATGAAGTGTTATTAAATTAGGGTTTAGTGTTATTGCGGGTGTTTTTGTGGCTGAGGGTGATAGCGCATTTGCTGTTGTCGAGCAAATTTTCCCAAGCGATGGTGCTAGAGATTCTGACGAGTTGCATCACATGCATTTCTCCAAAGCCTCGCCGTTGCTCAAGCTCACGCGCAATTCTCGACAACGCGCCTCGACCTCACGCCCATTTTCCGCCCATTGCTGACGGATACTTAGGTGTAGAGAGTTACACAATGGAGTCCGGCATTAGTCTGATTACCAGCACATTGTGTCGTCATCTTGATCCCCGCATGAGCATGTTATGGAGGCTTTAGACGGGCCGTTGTTGCTTCGTGTGGCGGAAGCTACCGGCGAGGCTGTTACCTCCATCGCGAATATCGCTTCCGTATCCCGCGCCTTCGCCCGTGTCGCCCGCTCGGAGCTATGGCCGCGTTACTGCCTCGCGCGCGCCGCGCTTGCGGAAGACGGCGAGGCGGCGGCGGTGGCCGCGGTGGCGGCGCGCCTGGTGCGCGAGGCAGGAAGCGCCGATGCGCCGCGAAACGCGGCGAGCGTCCTGGCGCGCTGCATGAGTGCGTGCCCGGGCGTGGTACCCGCGTGCTCCAACGCGCTGCGAGTGGAAGCCGAGCCGTGGAATCGCTGGTCCGGGAAATTCGCAAGGGAGTTCTGCAGCGATACGGAGGAGGAAAGCGGCGCAGTCGGGGGAAGTGTGGGTGTGGGAGGCGGCAAGGTACATGGAGATACATTGGAGGAGAGCGGCGTCAATCCTCACGTCAGCGATTCCTGTGCCCTCTCCTGCGCCCTCGCCACTCGGCTCTTTCTGGACGAATGCTTCCTCCCCGCCCCTTTCTGCCCATCGCCGCTCATTTTGGGCGAGGTGGAAGAAGACGAAAAGCGGAAAGCTAGGGGGGAAGATAAGGGGGAAGGGGACGAAAGGGGGAAAGCTAGGGAGGAAGTTAGGGACGAAGGAGCGCAGGAGGGCGCGGCTGTGTTGATGGCAGCAGGGGACTGTGGGAAGGATCACGAGGCAGAGGCTGAGGATGAGGAGGAGGAGGAGGAGCGTTGTGAGGTGGTGCGGGGAGCTATTGCTGGGTTCAGGCACTCACGGTAAGCCATGGCGATGTTGTTAGGACGAGTGTGAGGCTGTGGTCTCACCAGTGGGATGGGCCCACAGTGTAACGCTTGCTTTGTGCACAGTCAAAACGTAGGTACATGTTTTTGTCTCGTACCATACCTCTCTCCCAATGCCTGGCTGCAGCTTTCACAGCCTGCTGCAAGGCCAGGCGTTTGCTGCAAGTGCATGCCCCTTCTGCCATGACCAGGTGAGGTTGTTTGAACTTTGCTGTGATGTGCCATCTTATGCAAGCACTTCTGTTTCTCCTTTGCTATTGGAATGGAGTGTTGGTTGTTCATGAATGTCAGGTGTTTCAAGCATGGGTCTTGGTATGATTTTGAGCACCAGCTTTCCTGCAGGACGGCACACAGGATGTGCCAACTTTCCTTGTAGCCCTCCCACACCCGTGTTTAATTTGTCATCTTGAGCAGGCATGGAACCCACTGCTCTGCTGATACCTGTTTTTGAGGCGACTCAAAAGAAGAAATGATGATGATTACCAGCCTTCCCCGTGCTTTATGATCTTGAGCAGGCATGGAACGCCACTTCTCTGCTGAAATCGACGGCTCACAGTGCGTTGGGTTGCGATAAGGGAGATGCCTGCTGCTTCATCTGCACCCAGGTCTGCTTCATCTTCATCTGCCTCGGCCTCCTGTTTTATAACTCACACTTTTCGATCCACATTTGACATAATTTGTTTCAATGCAATGTATAACCTCGTCATGGCTTACTTGGCAGTGCTCGGACTATTCTGATGAAGACAACGATTATGATTGGGATGACTGGGGTCGTTGGTCGGATGAGGTTGATGACTTGGATGATAGGATGGACCGTCTAGGTTTGGTGCAGGATGAGCGATGGGCTTTTTGACAGGACTTGTACGTACAGTAAGATGGTGGATAGGTAGTCATATAGCATGCTGATTTTTAGCGTGATGTGTGTTAAGGTAGGTATGTACATATCGGTAAGGTTAATCCACAAAGATGGGGGGTGTGTTAATCTCAGCCAAGACAGCATCTGGGAGATTAAGATGTAATCAATATTGTCAGAATGAGGAATGAGTGTTGCATTGATGTTGGTTGGGGTACATATGACAAACCCTAACTTCTGTACCCCCTAAGACAAACCTCACTACAGGCTACAACATTTGACACACCCCCATAGCCTAAGTGAGGGGTGTCTAGCAAAAACAAAAAGAGTACGGTCACAAGACCAGTCCAAAAGAAAACAAAGCTCAGGGTGGATCACAACGTCACCACACACTCTGAGCACAAGCAACAGTGGCCACAAGGCCAGTCCAAGAGATCACAAGTATATATAGTAAATGTACAGACGAAGCAGGCAATAAACTCAAGTCTACGCATGACTAGAACCTGTGTCAACAAGGCCTAACTGCACACAACACCTCTGGTGGTCACAAGGCGGAAGCGCCTTGGTGAAGATGTCTGCAGTGTTGGCCTCGGACTCTACGAACTCGAAGCGAGCCTGTCCACGCCTCTGCAACTCTCGCAGAAGAAAGTACCTGATGTGAATGTGCTTCACTCTGCTCTCCAGTCGCGGCTCACGACAGAGGAGGATCGACGCCTTGTTGTCAGTAAACAAGGTCGGTGCAGAGCTCGGCCGCTCACCAAGGTCAGTGAGCAAGAAGGTCAACCACCGCAACTCCTGTGCCGCCATGGCACCAGCGTAAATCTCAGCCTCAGCTGTAGAGGTCGAGACAGAAGAGGAGCGCGTGGAACGCCAGGAAACAGCTCCAGAACCCAGACTGAAACAGTACCCCTGAGTAGACCTGTGAGTCTCAGCGTCGTCAGCGTAAGAGGAGTCACAGTGACCAGTAAGTACGACAGACTGCTGCCCTCCAAGAACTAGCCCCACGCCTGATGTAGTCGCTAGGTACTTCGCCACCCTCACAGCTGCCGTCCAGTGAACAGGACGGTGTCTCCCTGGCGCAACAAAGCGCGCAAGGATGCTGAGAGGGAAGGCGAGGTCCGGGCGAGTACAAGTCATCAGGTACATGAGGCAACCCACAAGCTCTGCGTAGGGACCACTAGGCTCAAACGGCTCGTCAGGAAAGGGACCAGTGAGTCTGTGGTCAACAGCTAGAGGTGTGCGCTGTACGGTGGAGTGCTGAAGCCCGAACCGCTGAAGGACCTGCTGCACCATGTGTGACTGTGAGAGTGTAATGGTGCGAGCGGCTCTGTCCCTGGTGATCTGCAGGCCAAGGTAGTGGCGCAGTTCACCAAGATCAGTGCACGTGTGTCTCTTCTGCAGTTCGGACTTCACGTCTGCCAAAGCAACCCTGTCCGGAGTGGCGAAAACGAGGTCGTCGACGTAAACCAGAACAAAGAACGGTGTGGAGCCACGACGAACGAACAGCGACGGGTCGGCAGAAGACGGCTGGAACCCAAGGTCAGAGAGGGTAGAACGCAGAGTGTCGTGCCACTCACGAGGGGCCTGGCGAAGACCGTAAACAGGTCGTCTCAGCCTCCACTGGGTCCCAGGAGGGAAGGTGCCAGTGAAGGCCGAGGGACGACGCAACCAGACCTCCTCGTGTAGGCTGCCCTGAAGGAAAGCAGTGGAGAAGTCAAGAGAGTGTAACTCGTAGTCTCTCTGTGCTGCTACGTGTAGTAACACCCGAAGAGTGGTCATCTTCGGGGTAGGTGCGAAGGTCTGAAAGAAGTCAACTCCCTCGCGCTGACTGAAACCTCTAGCCACGTAGCGCGCCTTGAAGACCGGGGGAGATCCCGGTGGCCGCTTCACCCTGTAGATCCACATGCCGTCGACTACGTTCGCCCCAGGGGGGGGAACCTCATCGACGTAGGTGCCTGTGGATCTGTAGGAGGCCATCTCTGCGTCCATGGCAGCTCTCCACTGAGAGGCCCAAGGCCCTGACACTGCCTCAGCGTAAGTGCGAGGAGTCGGAATGTCAAGGGCGTCGGGGTCACCCTCAGGGGCGAGGAGCATGGCACAGAGATGAGGGGAAGCGGCCGCCAGGAACTCTAGCTCAAACTGCCTGTCCTCTAGGGCGTCACAGCCAAGGGCAGACACACCCCCGACGGCCAGAGGACTGGTAGGAGGAGCAGCCACAAGCGTGGTGGCGTAGTCAAGGCGGCGGGTAGAGGCAAAGTCAGTAACTGCGGCAGTAAGAGCGGACACAGAGGACACAGAGGCACGAGGGTGAGTAACAAGAGAGGCGAGAACACGAGAGAGAACAGGACGGTACGTGCGGTAGTAGTCAGTGACAGGAGTAGGGAGCGACACAGTGAGGGCCGACTCAGGAGGAGACGGAAGCACAGACTGAGACGGACGAGGTGGACTAGAAAGAAGGAAGGCAGTACGAAGGTCAGTGAAGGGAACAGGAGACGAGGGACGAGCACGAGGGGAGCGACGAGTAGCCCAAGAACGAGACGGAGGAGAAGAGGACAAGGGCGGAGAACTGGGGAAAACAGCGGGGGAGGAGTCAGGAGGAGGAAACGTGGGACCGTAGACAGGAGGAGAGGCGGAGGAGGGAGGAGAAGGGGAGGGGAGACCAAGGATCCGAAGACCCGAGACAGGAGGAGGAAGTGGCTGCTGCTGCTGCGGCTGCGACTGCTGCTGCTGCGGACGCGGCTGCTGCTGGGACTGCTGCTCCTGCGGGTCCAGCTGCTGCTGCTGCTCCTCCAGCCGCTGTAACTCCCTCTCCTCTCTCTCCAACGCCAGCTGATCGTCACGGGCACGGCGAACACGAGCCTGGTGCCTAGTCGGGTAGGGGTGGGGGGGCGGAGTAGTGTCCGAAGCAGCGGCAGCTCCAGAGTCCACTCCAGAAGAACTAGGCTCACCACCCCCAGAGGCAGCACTAACACCAGCTCCAGACCCAGGCTCACCTGAACCCAAAGGAGGCGCACCCTCACCCCCAGACGCAGCACCCCCAGTGTCCGCGCGGCCAGCACCAGCTCCCGGACGACAAGCGTCCTCTGCACCCACCTGGTCAGCTCCAACTCCAGAACCAGAAACTCCAGCTCCAACCCCAGCTCCAACTCCAGCACCCCCAGAACCAGAAACTCCAGTGCCAACTCCAGCTCCAACTCCAGCTCCAACTCCAGCTCCAACTCCAGCACCCCCAGAACCAGAAACCGGTACAGGAACAGGCGTCGCACCAACCTCTCGAGAGCTAGCACCAGCGGCACGCTGCGAGGAGGACTGTGGGGAGGGAGGCTGTACCGGAGGGGCTACCGAAGGAGGAGGGGTAGCCTGGGACACACCTGACGGGGCTGGACCAGGGGGGGGAGGCTGTACCGGGGGAGCAGGAGGGGGAACGGCAGTCAGGAAGAGGGGGGGAGGAGGAACCGGGAGACCTCGACTGGGGTACCTGACGTAGTACGGAGTGGACTCCTCGAAACGGACGTCACGGGAGTCAAAGAACCGGTGAGAGGGAGGGTGGTAAAAGGTGAAGTCAGAGGAGTCCTCAGGGAAACCAAGGAAGACACAGGGGACGGCACGAGGCGAGAGCTTGTCCGCGGAGGTGTCGCGGACAAGAGCCAAGCACCCCCAGACACGAAACCGCGACGCAACACCAGGGAACCCTGTCCAAAGACTGGTCGGTGAAACCTCTGGTCGAGAGACACGTGGCCAGAGGTTCAGCTGGTGCGCGGCGTACCTGACCGCGTAGGGCCACAGAAAATGGGGGGCACAGGCGTGAGTCAGGGAGGTGCGGGCGATCTCCATGACCAGGCCTATGCGGCGCTCAGCAACCCCATTCTGCTGTGGGGACTCTGGAAGCGTCCAGGACTGACGAATGCCCTGCTCGCGACAGAATCCAGCGAGAATGCCGGAGCGAAACTCACCCCCACGGTCGGAGTGGAGACAGCTGACACGACGACCACGAGTGTCCTCGGTGGTGAGCAACCACCTGATCAGCGTAGAAGTCACCTCAGACTTCTTCGCCAGAGGGAACACTGTGGTGTAGCGGGAGAAGTCGTCAACGACCACCAGAAAGTAACGCTCACGCTCAGGGCCTAGACGAGGGGCGGGGCCCCAGACGTCCAAGTGAAGCGTCTCAAAAGGCTCGGTGGCCGGACGAAGGGAGGAGGAGTGAGGGGTGGCGCGCAGCCTACCCTCGACGCAGGGACGACACGGCGGCGCAGGCGAAGGCGGCAGCGACGGCAAGACACGTGGGAGGCCTAGGACAAGACGCTGACTAGACATAGCGCGCAGACGTGGAAGGGACGGGTGCCCCATCCGGTGGTGCCACAGAACGGTGGGGTGGGCAAGCGACCGGCAGGAGCACGACGCAGCGACTGGAACAGACGGAGGAACCTGACACGACACAGACACCTGGGGGGACGTAGCAACCTGGTGAGACGCGGGGACCCGAACGGGGGGGGGAACCGGGGGCAGTGGCAGTAGGGGGGGCTGCTGGTGCGGCCGCTGGTGCTGCTGCTGCTGCTGCTGCTGCGGCTGCGGCTGCTGCTGCTGCTGCGGCTGCTGCTGCGGCGCACGCGGGCCAGTGTGAAGAGTGTAGAGACCCGAGCCCCGGCTCAGCAGTAAAGGTAGCAAGAGGCTGGTAAGAGTCTCCGTCAACACACACCGCAGTCTCTCCAGAAGGCTCAAACCACACACCCACGTGCTGGCTCACGAGGGGTCGCACGCCCACCAAGTTCCGGGAGAACGAGGGGACGTGAACCCAGTGAGAGACCCGGAGGGAGCAGCAGGACACGGTAAAGTGGTAGTGTGACGTGCAGTGACTGGTCCCGTAGTGGGATCAGCCAACGCTACAGAAACAGGCGCAGGAAGTGGTGTAAGTGTCGTGCTGTCCCGAAAGAAGCAGTGGGAGGCTCCAGAGTCCAGTGTGAACGACAGCGAAGCGTCCTCTGAGGTAGTCGCTGGTCTAG